GGATTTTCACCACATGTTAAATTTACACGCAGTAATATGTCTCATGATAGTGAAACGCAGTAACTGAAATATTGCACTTTATATTGGTTGATGTAGAGATTGGTGTCGGTCCTGGTATGGAGATACTATTCACTACCATTCGTGATGTCGAAGTTAATTCACGGTTTAATAATAATATTACCCCTTCCTTGTCCGACACCCATTGTAGTTTCATTATTTGATTTATAGATTCAACGTCCCAACATTTACACAATCTTTCTTTCTCTTTGGTAACAATCTTCAGTTCGATTTCTGTCATTGATGGATTTAGTCTATCGGCCCGTTTCACAGAATATTTGCATTGCAGCCGTATGTGTTTCATATTTTCTCACAATATTTGTATGGGCGATAAAACAATGGCCATTCTTAAATTATATCAAAATTGTATACCGACATTAACAAGGATATACATAATACTTATCTGGAATCAAACGTGTTTTTTGCAGATAATCATATGCATCATATATCAACAGAAACTGACATTCATGTTGACTGTATCCACAAGAGCACGTTACATTGTCCATGATCTCATGAACACAGATCGTATTCGAAAATGGCCGCCATGACTGACGGAAATACACAGTGAAGTGGCTCCACCTCTGAAAGCCCACATAATGAACTGTCAATGTTCCAAGTTATATGCTTTTGTGCCAAAAGTCACAATTTCAAGTTGTATAGCTTATATCTACTGGACTACCTACCACTTTCTATATTTGAACGTTGCGAGAGACACCTGAACAGTGCCAAAGCAACACGAAATTGTTTCATAGAGAAACTACAAATATGGGTCTATATATTGAATAGGAATATTGAACCCTGAGAAAGTGAAGCGTGCCAATCATGTTGATACATATATTGGACTCTAGCCCAAACTCAGAATCAAATGGATCTATATCATAAATAGACTGGTTCTCCCAAACAAATCCAAATATATAAGGTGATAGTTTCAATTTTGAACTCCAATTCACCTAGCTTCAGTTATAAACACCTCCAAGCAGATAAGTGAAGTAATTCTTGACTGCACATCAAAAGGCCTTCTGTCACCAATGTAAGATTTAATACAACCGTATCGACAACTACTACTACAACACTAATCCTAAAGACATGGTCACTGATATATACCTCTGATACTAAAATGTAAAGGAACGCTCCAATATTGTTGTTTTGTTTTTGTCGTGTTTCTATTTCACCGTACCTTCAATACACCTACAAGATTACTTCAGACAAAAATTACAATTTATTCCAGTTTCAGAAGCCTTATACTGTTTTATAGAAATATGCTTTCCTGGTAACCATAAACTTGTTATCATATTTCCCCTTGGTGGAAGTGGCGGAATTGTTTGTTTAAAACTCTAATGAAACCTAGGCACCAAATTCGTTGATATCATAATGTAATCTGGTGCTTTTACAAGTACGTCTGTCCTATCAGTCTTGACTATGTAAGTGGCTAATACATAACACTTGTCTTAGGAGTCTACCACGAACGTGGCTTGGTGCTGACAATGGTTCAGAACAAGAATAAATCTGACCAGCAACTCAAAGCCAAGAGACCACGTTGCAGAGCCTCATTCCACAGAATGATCCGCGCCACTTGTGTTTTATGTAATGACATATCAATTCACGTTCAAGAAGACTACTTAACTCACCATTTCAGTTGACATCATGAAACGATAGCATCTGTGATGCAGCATCTGCTCCATGATTCCTTACAGGAAGCCTTTTGATTGCACAAAGTTTGACCACCTTAATGAAGTTCCTGCAGACCCCCTTGGCGAGTTATAAAGTTATATCACATCCTATTGGCAGCTTATTATCGACAAATCTGTCTCGCTGGTTTCCAGTGTGTCACCCCATTGTGAATGCTGAACAAAGGAGTGATATCTGTGGAACTGTTCGGGAGATTTTGTAGCATGTATGAAATAAGCAGCAATACTTTCTGACATTCGAAGTCACTCTCAGTGCCCACATCACCTATTTCAGTTCTCACCTAACCATCCATCCATACCTTCTCGCATTATCTCACATATTATTTCATCACTTATCTCCATCTTTTTGTATCTACATTCCTCAATTCATTGAATAGTTTAGAGCATATCCATTCTAAAAGACGTTAAAAGATAGTACTTGTTGTTAACCCTGCCTGGCTATATAAGTGCAATAATATTGGACGCACCTTCACCTCACCTTCTTTCCAATTACATATCAATAAGCCATGTGTAGGCTACAAGTAGACTGCATGCTGTATATCCCTGTTTTATCTGTATGTGCGGATGCCCAACAATGATATAATAAGCATACAGACATTACGTCAAGATATTTAGATGGAAACTGCTTTCTCGTGATTAACCGACAGACTCTTCCACAATAGCATGAAGCAGTACGACACTATTGTGTGATATAAACACACGATATAATAGAGAAGACACAGATGGCCTAAGACGCAACAATATGCTGTGCAAAGTTGCCGCCCTCAGAGTAGATTTGAATTCACAGTTTGTCCCTTTTGTCAGAATAATACGTGTCACATAAGTAGTAAGCTTCTTTGACCTTAGTATCTTTGGCTTTTCACCACATAATAAATTTACACGCAGTGATTTGTCTCATGATAGTGAAACGCAGTAACTGAAATATTGCACTTTATATTTGTTGATGTGGAGATTGGTGTCACCTTGGACGCACCTTCACCTCACCTTTCAAATTACAGATAGGGGGTCCACGCAAGTATAATAACCATATTTATGCTGATACATTTTCAGGCGCCGTAAAAGTCAGGTTGGGTTGTTTAATGAAAAGTTTCCGAATATTAACAAAATAATCAATAAGCTACGTCAGAGACCATATACCATATCGGTATATGGTCTCTGGCTACGTGTAGGCTACAAGTAGACTGCATGCTGTAAATCCCCATTTTATCTGTATGTGCGGATTACCAACAATGATATAATAAGCATACAGACACTGCGTCAAGATATTTAGGGAGAAACTGCTTCCTCGTGATAACTCCCATATCCAGCTTAAGGGGGATATGTATGACGTCATTCCCAGGTCACGCATGTGGTGACGTAATGTATGCCAAGGTGGTTGCTCGATAACCTTCTGCACTGGGATTAACATTACGTATGTATAAATCTTACCTTACATATGAGATTGCGTCATTTATATTCACTCAGAGAGAAAGTAATAGTTCAAATAACACATGGTCCATTGACGTATAATATAGTTTATAGAGGCTAATGACATCGCGAACAAATGACCTGCCATTTGATGCATGAGACATTGTGGTCATCATGTCATTCTCAGGGTAGGTTTTACTTGATGCGGAAGAAAATAGAAAAAGGTAAACCTGGCATGTGGCACATTGTACTCTGACACTAATCACTTGATGAAGGAGTAACCACAAACACGGGTCTCCTATCTGCTCCGATCATGGTGTGTCCTCAATTTTCTTATCGCCACAAACACATTTTGTAAATTAAGAGCATTTTCTTCAGATGCTTCGAAAATAACATACTCGATAAAGTTTCGATCTGCTACATCAATTTTTTTTCGGATGACAAAAAATTATAATAATGCTTGCACTGCATCTGAAACAAAGTAAATAGTTTTAAAGAACAGAATACAACTCTCATGCTTGGTGATCCGACATTATATATGCAAATAATTCTATTGAACCTGGATGTAAACATAAAGCAAATTAAGCAGATTATTTAAACATGACGTAATTCTGTACCGTACTGAAGAAAATATTGTTATTAAGTTTGGAAAAGCATGTACATGTTTAACCTTGTAGTGAAATAGCATGTTTGCAAATGCATTCCCAATATGTAAGATGTATATATGGACGCATTGGCCTTACAAAGCCTGCTGCTTTCACTTGAAGTTTGTTTAATTCAAAAGTGCATCAAAAGCATGTTTTTAGAACTTGATGGTTTTATGTGTCGAAAATCCAGGTCAAAGAAAGTTCACACTGTCTCACAATGCTACTCAGGTTTGGTAACAAAGCTTAAAACCTATCCAAGCTGACAAGATAATTACCATTTCTACAAGCCCCTAGGTTGGCGACGTCATTAAGTAACAGCTGACCGTTATCAAGTAGCTCCAATTGCACTAATAAGTAGATAACAGGTTGAGATACCACGACAACCAGCCCTGTTACACCACGGTGTTACCAACACGGACATTGATGAATAGCACGACTTCAAACTGACTACCATGGCCTAATCACACCCCAGGGGACTTAGGAAACCCAACAAGCGTCTGTGTGGTCTCTGGTCATATTGATTGTCTTCTCTTATATAATTAGATGTTATAGTAGGATTAGGTTTTACATGTCAGATTGGGGCAACACCTCATGGTCAAACAGGCTTTCCTATACTATTAGATATGAAGCAGATGGTCTTGTCTATTATGTGCAAGATACATGGGCTGTTTCCGGTCACGTATGAGCGAGGACGCTATTTGCAGAACAATACACGCATAAAAATACATGAAAGGGTTACCTTTGTCAATAGGGCTAAATTACTAATTAAAGTGTTTAGTTCTTACTTCTTTTGCCTACAGGTTTTTGCTACGATCCTGTGTGTCATCTGTTACAAGCATTAGGTTTGAGACATGTTTGAAGGAAATTCTTGCAAGTAATGGTTTCTGGAACACGCAGTTTGGTTTACTTAAATTTGGTTCATCGCATCCCCTTCTATATTATCATGTGTGCATCGTGACATTATACAGTATACATTATACTTGGGTGACCATGTTATCTGTTTGCAGCATGGTGAGGTTTGTGTATAAAGTTCTGCTACTCATGCGAACATTTAAGCCTTTATATTTATAGATATTGGATCTAAATCATTAGCATTAATGATAATTTATTAGCAAATATTCTTTCTTTCAACGCTAAAAGATCCAAGGTCATCGTATATAGTAATTACGGGACGAAGGTAATCAGTGACAAATTTCATAAAGCTTCTTCAACAATTTATTTCATTGATTCTTTCACGGAGTAACAATAACAAATGATAAATAAACAGGTCAATTCATTCATTGAATCAAAGCTTTAGGCACATCTGTGATCCATGAATTCGTCCAGCACTACTAAATGTTCTTTTTCTTCACAAGGTTAAATAACTCGAACTTGGTTTCTGAAACCTATGGCAGAATATGTGCCAAAGCTTTGTCCAGCATAGTGGTTGCTGTAGAGGTAATCCTTATGTCCTGTTCGGAAACATTGTCTCTTGTTGAGGTCAATATCACTATCATCGTGCACTCGCTTCCTCTTGGAATAGACAGGTGTATTCATATAAGACACATTTCTGTAATTCACATAAGATGATACAGCACATCCTTTTGAGACATCTGGAAGTGTGGTTTGTCCGATTTCTGTTGTACATATTTCTGGGTATTGTCTTGTGGAGGAGGGAACATAACATTTAGGTTTCTGGTTCGCAGAGGGGCCATCCACGTATCTCAAGTCATCAAAGTATGGTAATCCATGTATCACATCCTCAATGATGGAATGGTAAGCAGCTGTATTACCAAGACCAACGATCAGGTCCGTGTTTGGAATATCTGCAACAAAGATATGAAAGATTATAGAGTGAGTAATGAGCAGTGAATATATATAACTGTCTCAGAATACATTTGTCGAACGCCATACTTGTATGTGGTAACATTGTGCAAATTGTCGATGATCAATATTATTCTAAAGAAGATTCTTCAGAAACCTACCCATGATATCACGTAGATCGTCCCGAATGTCCTTTAGTCCACCTGGGTGAGCCACTGCTGGAAGTCTTGTTGGAAGGTGAATCTCATTTTGGCATTTCCTTGTGGTTGAACCATAAACTTGACTGTTTGACCTTTGAAATTCATCGAAAAATCCTCTGGAACAAGGTGCAATTATCAGCATGGGTTCATTGTGATATCGTGGATCATCCAGCCCCGGGAATTTGGACAGGTCAAGATCGTAGTTGATGCTGGTGTCTATACTCAAAGGGTGTTGTAGGTGCTCAGGGATGCCCATATTGAATTGGTAATGACACATTGGCTTCTTGAGCCTTTATATAGCACGGCTCAGATTGCTTATTACATCCAATCACAAGTCAGCGGGGGTGATTGACAGCTGGTAAGTGACCATACCAGACAATTACACCGTTAGCTTGTGGCGAACAAATGAGCTTAACGTCTGATAAATAGCCTTTGTGTCCTGTCGTCTGTGGTCAGAAGCAATCGGTGAAAATACCACGTGTGTGTGAAGTGACCATTGTTCACCATCGCCTTGTGTGGACATTACATCGCCGCCTCAGGCTTTCGTTCAACCCTTTAATACACAGCTTATTAATTTCCGTGCCAAGAGCAATGTTTACCGGTCAATTTGAAACTGATTTAACAGGTCGACGGTGATTAGTGATTGCTGGAAATTAATTTGATTTTTATTAAATGAATTAAATACAATATTGTTGAAGAAAGATATATGTAGAAACAATTGTTATCAAGCGCCGAGCAAGTAATTAGTAAACCTTGAGGGTCCTGCAATATTTGCTTGTAAAGAGCCGTTTTTTATATAAGGTAACTCTAGATACTTTTAAGCATGTAAAAATATGTAAAAAAAATGAATAAACATAAGGTGCCGGGCAAAAGAAAGTATACACTTGAGAACTGAATTTGACCAAAAACATCACATACTTTATAAAAACTAGGCTGAAAGCAGTCGGCGAAACACTGCAAACTTGAGGTCCAAAACACAACTGTGATACCTGTATGAAATACATCACCATCGAATAACCATTTCTTGTTCGTTTCGTTTTTAGCCACTATCTAACATGGGTGTTTACTTTCCTCTGCCCGGCAGATTATTTTGATTTCAGATACTAAACAATTTGTACTGATATTTATTAATTACCTTTTGTAAGATTAGATCCTTTCAATATTATTTACATTCAAAATGTTAAAAGAACAGTGGATTATAACTAACATAAGTTATCACTGTACCACATTGTTATTATTGTATGGTGACGTCATTGTACAGAAAAGGGACCCTGTAATAGACATGTCGCCCGTACTTGTGTTGTCCAGCTATTCTCTATTCATCACGATACCAAAGAATCTGGCTAACCCAACATATTATATCACGATTATCTGCCTTCTGCTACAAACGACTAAACTTGAGTTGGATTAGTTACATGTTTGTAATCGCCTAGAATATCCTTTTTGCTTTTCGTAATAGAGATCAAAGTGAAAAGAATTACATCTTCAACAAATGTCGATTGTTCTCAAATTCCTCAAAAGCATCGTATTTTCTGAAATGGTTGGAAAAAGGGAGTTATTGCGCAATGTGTGTTTCCGCTCTATAATTAAACATTACTGTTCTCTGTGTATCTACTTAACACTATCTACTTGAAGATGGTTATCGCCGTCTTGTACCATCATCGGACAAAGGGCAGCGTTGTTTGTGAAGATAAAACCAGTGAATTCCTGATAAAACCCTTTAAATGAAGACATAGTATAGATCAAAGGACTAAAACATAATTTCGGCGGTAGACAAGCCAACCTATGAAACGTTTATGATGTAATGGAAATCGGATTGGCTGTAACATATCATCGTCACCGTGATAATACGTTGGTTTCACCTCCGGATAAGTTATGTAACTATCAAATATAATTATAAAGTGTCGACGATTTGAAGAAATACGTTGGCATTAATCTGAACTTGAGATAAATTGCACCTAAATTCGCATTATATGGACGTGTTAAGTTTGACTATAGTCTAGATGTTAAATAACAAAGGTTGAAAAGAGTTCAGGTCAGAGGTATGACAATTGAAGTAATTGGACAGATACAGCAGGTACACGGGTGACAACGGGGCGTGGTGTGTGTGTAGGGTGGGGGGTGGGGTGGGGTGTGTGTCTGTGTGTGTGTGTGTAGGAAATGCTCCTAATGGAAAGTATTACGCGCTTTAAGAAAATAAATACAATGCCCTTGGAATATGTATGAATACAATGTATATGGTATATACAATATCATTATAAGTACATATATAAACGTATGTAGCGTGTAGTACATCCTAACCACATATATTCGCATACATGCACTTTCATCTCACAGTATTTCAATATGCCATAACAACTAAATGTGTATGTAATTTGCAAGTAACTTAATTACTTCTGTATAGATAGATTGATCATTTCTGTCCTGTTTATGAATTAAAAATAAATATCGACTTTAGAAATGGCTTTTGCTTATATATTATATAATTATTATAGTTATTGGGTTTCTAGGAATATTGTCACTGTTGTATGTAATTCAATGTTTACGTGTTGTCAAGAAAATGTAGATGTGAACAGCCAAGAAAACACTTCGAATAAGTGTAACGATGCAGAAAGATAGATTTTTTTTTTAATATATAAAATATTTCAGTTACGATGGAATGAGAAACCGAAATAATTTCAACATCATAACAAACATACATGTAGCACCAAAAATATATGCCAAGTATTTGGCTAACACTTTATTTGTGAATCAACTAAACACATGATGCAAGTTTTAGGCTAAATATATTGATCATTTCCCATGCTTTTATTCTAAACTTCCTTTGTAGGAGTGTTATCAAACTTATCCAACAGTTATATTAGAAGCATCAACAGTGTTGAAGGATGTCAGCTGTTGTCTAATTAAACCGCGAGGCACTGTATCAGGCTATTTACTTCTTATGTAACATTATCGAGAAATAACATTCTTGAGTGGTCAGCTTTGACCCTGAGCATAAATGAGCCTGTCGTTAGGTCAAGGTGTAAATTAAACATCACGCCTCAACGAGGATGGTCAGTTTATTGCCGCGTCTGAAATGAATCACTGCCTGGGATAGTGTTTATGGCATCTGGGAATGAAAGGTTATCTTCATTGCTATCCATTACTTGTCAGCTCGGAAGCGACAGATGCAAGTGCTTACGATTGTTCCTGCTGGCATAACAATTTCATGCGAGGGCGTGTAAATAAATTGCAATTAAAGAAGCCTTAGATAGTACGACTATTGTTTATTTTATTATTTATTATTCCTGTGGTGGAATGATTATATATTTGCCAGTGTCTGAAGTCGACTTGCATCATATTACCTAACATGTTTCATCCAAATAGGTTAGGGATCGACTGAATTGTTTTATTCGTACGTTTTGTCATTATATAAGAAACTTACATACAATATACAATACAATACAATACAAAAGAGTTTATTAAAGCCTCACCATTTGTACAGCAGGGGTTTAAATAAAGCATTTTAAATATCTAAAAACTTATAAGTACAATGCCACCAAAGGGGGTTACGAGAGACTATATCTTACACAAATGTAAGTGCTTTATAAAATAATGTAAAATGAGATAAAATTATACATAATATTATAATCATAGTCACAGTTTAGGAATATAAATATTAAGAATGTAAATGATAAGATAAACAGTTAAATATATTGTTACATTATACATAAAATAATTTTCTACGCATAAACATTTTGAAGCACATGCTTCCTAAAAGTGGTAAGTTACAATGGTTATTTAAAATGGTGATATCTACAGGTGTATGATAAAACACACTCTTAAGATAAGATGTACGTAAACAGCCTATATTACGTGATTCCAGAAGTAGTTATGATTACAATGTAAGGTCATAGCAACATTACTATACTGCATGCGTCATTCTCAACAATGCACGAATTTGTATATACAATATGCATTTTATCCTGGTATAAAAAAAAATGTTGGTGATAATAATGAAAGAAGCAATTTCAAATATTTTCTATGAATTAAAACGTGAAACCTTTGAAGCAGATAATGTACATTTACATATACACCGATATTGACGGTAATTGATAAAGCGTAAGGGCACCGTCCCAATAAAACATCTTATCTATATCTATGAATGAATTAGTTAATTGTATTTTACGCCGCCTTTCGCAGTATTCCAGCAACATCACGGCGGGTGACCAGGAATGGTGAATCGAACCCAGGTCTTCGGCGTGTCGAGCGAACGGTTCAACCACGAGGCTATCACACTTATAACAAGAATGAGTCATACACGTTGAATACTAGATATAAAACACACCAAAGGTACTAAAATACAGCACAGACTCAAATTTCAATCTAATTGGTATTATGTACTTGTAAGTGTTAAGTAAGAGTATACAGTATTACATAGAAACCCATAAGGCTGAATAATTCAGATTTCATTTTTATATTTTTATATTATTTGAAGATTATTACGTCAGTGTTCTTCCTCGAATATGAATATACTCAAGAACTGACATTCAACCATGACTACGGTGGCCCATAGCAAGAAGGAGAAAATAATTTCATTACTGTGTCACGTATTAAAGACTGATATAAAATTCACAAAATGAATACAATACCCGGCCATAAGGACTATGAGGTAGATATACATATAATGTACGTAATCCATAGAGATTTTACAGATTATTAATAATCACGAAACATAAAGGTAACTTCCAGCGTACATCTAGTGTAAATACTATTTTGATAAGACACCACAGTCATTACCAGAAAATGATTTGGAAAACCATTCTATTAAAGAATTGACAATACCTCCAATTTTGCATTCATAGATTACAATCTATACAAAGCTTCTGCAGTAAGTGCTCTAAAGAAAAGAAATCATTAAAGCATTGCTCAAACCTTTAGCACTTGATGAACCTTTGTTTTCCTTTAAGACACGCAATTAACAGGTATGGCCGTTCTAATGGAAACAAGGAAAGTAATTCTATGAAGGGCTAACACTATTTCAATCTGGTGAAAGATTGCTTGGGGCCCTGGACTAATCCCTTGATTAAAACTATTCGCCAAGGAAGCGACAAGTCTATCAATACGGGTTTATCGTGAATGGGATCAATTGTTAGATAACGTGAGCTATAAATTAAACAGAAGGATGTATAAGGTTTTGACAAAGTAGTGTTTTAAGGATTAATCCGCTTGGCATTCATTCAATGTTCATTCAACGAGTGTCCGACCAGAATTATTTACAACACATTGTGTTTTGATAAGACTGTATGGATTATTTGTCAGCCAAATAATTTACACATTGGAGGATTGTAGTGTTTCAATGAATTCCACAGCAAGACAATGCATTCAATACATTCGATATCACCACGGGTAGCATTGAAATTCTAACCTGTAGTAAAAGCATATCAAACCGTATCAGTTATGACCCCGTATGATTATTGGATGTTTCCTGCATGAAGTACCGCTCTGTCTGAATGTTACCACTGCAGAAGAGTGTCCCATAGGTATAGTGCATGATTGTTTCCTTCATATGCTGTTCCTGCACACTGGGACCAACAACAGTCATATGGGCATCCAGGCAACATAGAAGTCAGAAGGTAAATTGTCCGTAAACACAAAACAATTCCCAGTCCAAACTTCCATGTTGGCATAAGCGTCAGAGTAACCCTTTTCAACGTTTTGTCCAGCATCAATAAAAGAACGGCGTATTTCACTCATTCAAGTTTAATCAGGTAACAGAACATTGTAGATAAATAACAGATGTAAATAATATCAATATAAAATGGCACTAAGTGCGCAAAATAGTGTAATGGTCATTGAATGTTTGTATATAATAATAGTGTTTCATACACATGTATAATACAAATAGAACTATAGGTCACTTGGTACAAATGCACTATATGGAGTTTTCCAAGTAATTCGAAGTCAACAAAATGTCAAAGCACTGAGATTGATTGGGCACAAAATAAGATATTTAAGAAATTCTCTACTATGATTGCCTCTGGAGTTCACACCCATTTGACCTTGAACAAACTGAAACTATTGTTGGAATATGCAGAGACGATATATCCGCCTTTTTCGATTTCTTGTTGGCAACCTCGTTTTCGCTCTCGTCATTTCGGCGTCGTTTTTGTCCCCTGATACATGACACAAAGGGAGGTAATTGTTCTTTTGAGACAAATACTGCGTCGTGACATGTGTGCTGCTCTGTTTTGTCTGTGTGGAAAAGAACTTCATCATCAAGGCAATCCCAGATGTTTTCTAGAGGTTCCGTTATGTTGCTTAGAGTGCCAGGATCGATGTCAATGGCCGCGATGACGTCTCTGTCTGCAATGACGTCATCCAAAAGAGTCTGGAAAGTTTGATCGTCAATGATGTTGCTGCTGCTGACATCTGTGAAGAACGCCTCGCTTGATTCTGGGGACAGAAAACAGCAACATGAACAACTGCTCACAACAAAGTATTATTAATCAGGTTAAAATTTTCCAAAATCAATAATAGATTAACAGCTGCATAGGCAGATATTAGTGATATAGACTGATGTTAATATAATACGTACCAATTAAGAAATGTAAGTCGTCTACAAATAAATCGTCTAAGTTGTCCGAAGTTGCTGAATCCTCTGCGTCATATTTGACACAATGTGCGTCATGGTAGACGTAGTCGCTCCAGTCAGTGGCTATCAACAGAGCAGGCTGGTACATATGTTGTGGGTCATCCAGACCTGGGAACTTGGACAAATCCAAGGCATAAGTGATGTTGGTGTCGATACTCAGAGGTTGAAGCGGGTGGTTAGGTACGTCCAGCATGGTTGTGAAGGGAACTATGCCATCCACGGTTACATCATTGGTATTTAAACCATGTGCTGTAAGCGCGTTTGGACATCCAATCAGATCGTTTAGCTTATCGAGCTAATCAGACATTTCCTGTGATACCGTATGAAAACACGAAGCTGTTAAAACGGCGTGAAAGCTTTTATTGTGTAAAGGTGATTAGCACAAATGACACGTTGCAATGCGCGTCAACCCCAAGGCGTCGCTTGTCTGGTGGTCTGATGGTGTGTTTTAACATCTCTAAATAGGCAATAATTGATCGGCAGCGCTTTGATGTTTGTCTGCCTGCGTCATCGCTTACACATTAATTACTGCATATATCGCCACGTTCCCTAGTCTTTGAGTGAAATAGATTTTGTAACTACTTACCTTTTGAATATAACCCCAAAGTTAAACAGGATATACAAACCAGTAATTCAGAAATTGCTTATTTAAATATCATTCCATGATATAATGCCATGTAACGTCAAAGATGTACACACAAATCTTTAACTCAATACATTAATATAATGACACAATTTGAATACTCCGACAGGTTAAATGTGGCAAATATTACCCTTTCGCGAACACCTAGTGTCGTCAGTCATCAGTGATCACTTCAAATAATGTTCACCTCACTTTTGTTTTTTGCGGCTAATGGAATCTGTTTCGTTGGATTATCGAGACTTGTTATTTATTCTCTGAGTTTGGCGTTTTATATTTGTATCTGCATTCTAATAACATTATCATTTTCTAATATTGATGTATTACAAGTCTTACAATAACCCGAATGTCAATATTTGGCTATTTTGCAAATAAAAGCGACAAAACCTTTTCCATATTCATAAGCAATCTCTGCCCAAAACATCGAAAGTACAATTCCTACTATATCATGAGCATGTGTTTATGAATCACTATCAAATAGTACGTTTTAATTATTTGAATATGTGCTCTTATCTGTATATATAACTTTTATTTTATGAAACAAATTGTTTTGTCCGTCTCTCCAATTGAACATAGCAATGAAAATCAAAAATTATGTTTTACCTCTGTCATTTTGAAACTAGATTTCTTAAATAATCTTTTCGTGTTAGTTTCAAATCGAACATATGCCTAAATTTGGTTGTGAACATATGTCTAAAAACTCCTCACTTACTTTGAGTATGATACAGTATTCAATTTCGATTGACAAACCTATCATTTCCATTGTCTGCATTATACAAAGAAACAAACAAATAACTTCACGCGCCATGACGTAATGCCTACAAGAACAAAACAAGGTATATCAGGGGTACATCTTTATTTCACAAATTGTTTCACCTCTTAAGTGCAATACTAAATTACTAAGTTTATACCAGATAATGTGTATACCTATATGACAAGACGAGGGACGCTTCCCGAGTCTTTTTATGAATAATCCTCTGCTTTGTTCTTTATTTCACGGTTGTCTATTTTATTATCTCTATTTGTATATATTCTTAGATATTGTACATTGTGGGTCTTTAGTGTAAGAAGATTTTTGTAGCATACTTCAATGGTGAAGTCATCACACAAGATTGTCTTTTTGGCTCTGTAAATACCTTGTATGTATATGTTAGATGTGAGATTCTGTACATAGCAGAATAGTTTACAAATAATTATATTAATGCATTGCCATCAACTTCTGACATCATGACAAAACAACGTCATATTTGATATATTCTTTTATCGCTAATGTAAACTATATTCCTGGGGACACATTTGTTCAGCAAGAATATCAACCATCACTTTAATTAAATCACACTTCTACACACAACTATCAAAAAAGAAGCATCTCATTCAATGGAGTCACTGTCATATTCAAATTGATATTCCCTTACGAAAAGAAGATTACAGGCAAGTACCCCGTGCTGGTGACAATAGCTGTCATGATTTCACTGAGCAAACGTATTGCTGATCAGTCACTACAGCTGGTTCCACAAGAATAACAATAACACAGCAAGACAAAAAGAAGACAATTAGAATGACGTATCCTTTATCACAACACTCGTAACAGTGACAATGGACTGTTTATGTTCGGTATTGGTGACACACCGTGATTACTTTCACATCACAAATGCGTTTCACATTGTCACACATATTATCACTCCCTTCAAAATGAGGTTTTTGTGATCACCTTGTTTACTGCAATATATTTCACAACATTTTCGCCGGAAATGTGCGCTTTGTATAAACAGTATCTTATTTTAAAATGTAAAGATGGTACAACAACTGAAAAGAAAGAATTGGCAAACGGATAAGCCGATATAGATACCTTGCCTCAAAATATGCATTCGACATGGTGCAGCGTTTGTTACGGAGTAATGTGGGAAGCATCCGGTTGAGACATAGAATGCATATTCTCATTTTAACTCTGTGGTGACACAAATGAGCTAATGTGCAACTGACCCAAAGTATTCAAGAACAAAACTGCCTTTGGCTTTCAAGACACGACTCCAGTCAACATGGAAGGGGGCAGGTCTTGAGCAGGTCCATAACTTTCGAGATTCCTTTATAACAGTTCAGTTCAGTTTACATATATATATATACATATTGTTTTATATATATATATACGTACTACTTCTTTGCATCTGTGTTCAAATTTGCAATGCACCTTACGTCACAGCCCGGTTAACACCACAATGTTATAAAAACACGAAATCACGAAATGTTCCGGAATGTTTTAAATAATGTTTCATTCACGTGAATTTGTATGGTTGCAGAAACGTTTCAGCAACATATCCTGCAACATGTGGTTATAACGTCTCAAAAATGTTTTGAAAACGGAATAGCCCAGTTAACAGTTAGTTGGTGTTTTGTTGCCAATGTTCAAAACGTAAAACACCAACTAACAATATACATCTGACAAAGAGTCGGATACTGTATACACTTTAAGCTTGTACTGCATGAAAGAAATTAAGAATGGTCATGTGAGCGTTCAACAAAAAACTTCAAGACACAGGTCTGTGGAGATGTTGATATCTTTAGAAAAAGACCTTTTGATTGTTGATTTCAGCAGAATCTTCATTCTTTGGTTTTGATTTTTATCCACCTTTCTGAAATAAAAAACAATTGATAATGCTTTGAGCAGATGCATAAAATATTTAGTATAATATTCAATTGTAGTTTTATCGGTATTATAACAACGATGTATATGTAAGTGTTTGATGAACTGAATGCTTGATGTGGTCACTATAATAGCATCACGAGTTACACTGGAATGCAAAATGTGGTACAAGCAGGAAACCCACCCCCACCCCCACACCCATCCACTTGATGATCAGCGGTTGAGTGCAGATACAAATCCAATTTTAACATTTATTTACAGCCAAAACCTGACATCAACAGATACTTGTTTATATAACATGGTATTTAACAACAGTTTGTGCACATGTGTTCACATAATTCACATTCACGTGTGTCTTTGGCGTTTTCACCAGTACATCCGAAATGTCATTTTGTATCCACTGGAATGCTCGTGTCTCCTTTTTCCCTCTTGCCGCAGCGAAAACAACAATGTTCCACGTTATAACAAAGTCATAACTTTAACTGTAATCAGTAAGCATATAGTTAATCCAAAGATGAAATAACTGGTATAATTGCATGATTTTTGGGGGGAACACTTTAGTGCGAATTTAATGTCCACTTGAATAACGTCGGAAATATATCAGTCGACAGAGAAGTAATGTAAATTAAGAACCATATCTTAGACAATTCGAACGTAATTGTTCCACACAATACCCCGGCTTTATGAAATAATGGAACCTTGGCAGGGCAAACCAGTGACTGATATTATGAACCACATCCCACGAATTCGGGTACGAAGACAACAAATCAAACACGTCAGCTTGTCGCCCCTTACTACAAACATGAGATACTGGGGACTTCTGTTGTCTAAACGGGCATTGTAACAAGCTGCGATTGACACCTTCATCACGGAACAGTTTACAGTTACAGTGAATCAAGCCTATGAATTTTATTTGGCCAACATGTTTTTGACAGAACTAAATCAAATTCAATATAATATATAGTGATAAAACATGTTTATCGAAAACCGAACGAATATGGTTGCAATCTTTTTTTAAAGAATATTTCATTGGTGTTAGGAGCCTATGTTGCCTACAACTATCTCCTTGTTACAAAAGCATTTGCGATTAATATTTTCATGTTAAAAATCAACAAACGATGACCACCTCACTGGAAATATATTGTGATAGCTTTTGACTACTCACTAGCGAGCGACCACTTATGCAAACACGTTACAGCACCCGACTCGTTTTACTTTTCCTCGTTTTCATGAAAAACGAAAATGATGAATTGATTGTTTGGGGGAAATATTATAAATACACATTGTAGACGTTGCTTCAATTTAAATTTTTGAAAATACACGCGGGGAAGTCATGCAAAGAAAAACAAGAACCAGATGATCCATATTTAGTTCAGTTAGTGCCAATTCTAAAGAATGTGTCTTGTAATTATTTTCCATATAATCCATTTCACAACGTTTCTATCACCTGAAATCTTCGAAATTGCTCATATTTCCAAAAAACATCAAAGTTAGTAGTATAGTACTGTAAAATCATAAATTTCAGATATAATACGGAAGAAATGCCAATAAGTGTCAGTGGTAGGTAGGCAACCAAAAGCCGAATGCAATAGCGGCCGGATAGTGACGGCAAAGTACTATGTATCAACCACCCCACGCTCAAAATCATATAAAGTTTTGTCTTACTCATATCAGCTCTATTTTCATTTGACACTTCGTCCACAGATTAACTGTAACTGTTGTAAAATCGTTATACCAGGGCGTTATCAATCCAAGACAGTGTTCATCGATGGCGCTAATTATAATTGTGAGACGCAGTTACGCTTATTCGTATGGGTTGGTTTCCCTTACTTGTCCACAATGTTTGAAATATCAAATATGTTCTGGCATAACATATTTGTAGTGTTTCTAATAGTTTCGCCCATGTTATAGCTTGATGTTCTTGAATAACATAATAAAACATTTTAGTAACATATTGAATGGTTGTGAAACATGTCCAAAACGTTAATAAAACGAAAAGCTTTGATGAAACCTTATGAAAATGTTTTGAAAATGTTTTTGTGTTGGCTACTAGTCCTTTTGAACTTATTGGAAGTTTCAACACGAGTCTAATCGTCAACAAGTGTTTAAACGTTTACTTGAATTACACCATTACAATGTGTATTGAAAACAGAGCCATATTAAACATCATGTTTTGTCCAGCATCAATAACAAAAAACAACTGTACTTCACTGATATAAGTTTAATCATGTAACAGAAGATATGGGTGTAGATAAGTAACAGATGTAGATAATATCAAAAGCCAAAACATGCGAAACATGGTAGGTATCATGTATCTGTGTAAAAGATACTTTTGTGTATGTACTGTACAAATAGAACAATAGGTCACTTGGAACAAACGTATGCACTATATTGAGTATTCAAAGTAACGTGGAGTAGACAAAAGGTTCAAGCACTGAGATCGATGGGGCTCAAAGGCAATAAAAGAAATTATCAGCTATGATTGCCTCTGGAGTTCACATCCATTAGACCTAGAACAAACGGTAACCATGGTTGGAATATGCAGAGACGATCTATCCCCCATTTTCGATTTCTTGTTAGCAGACACGTTTATGCTCTCGTCATTTCGGCGTCGTTTTTGTCCCCTGATATATGATGCAAAGGGAGATAACTGTTCTTTTGAGACAAATTCACAGGTGTGCTGCTCTGTTTCGTCTGTGTGGAAAAGAACTTCATCGTCAAGACAATCCCAGGTGTCTTCTAGAGATTCTGTTATGGTGTTGGATGTGCCTGGACTGATGTCAATGGGGGTGATCACGTCACTGTCTTCAACGACGTCATCCAGAAGAGACAGGAAAGTTTGATCGTCAATTATGTTGCTGGTGTCGACATCTGTTAGGAACTCCTGGCTGGATTCTGGAAAGAAAACAGTAACATGAACAACAGAACTGATCACAAAAAAGCATTATTAATCTGGTTACCATGTCATTGATACATCATGGTTCAAGATCTTCGTACCAGTGAGGCAGATACTCACCATATGATAAATGGGACTAGAAAATATTAGCCGTCTACAAATAAATCTAAGTCGTATGACCATGTGGCCTTCTCTGTCTCACTTACATAGCATTATTTTCATGAGCCACATAACAAATGTAAATAGAATCGACAAAATCCCTTCCATGTGCATTACTTTCACGTTATGATTGCTAAAACTAATACTGTCACACAGATCACAATGACAATATACATACCTATAAGAGAGTATAAATCATTTTCTAATAGACTGTCCGATTCATGGGAACTTGAGCAACTGTTTGCGTCATATTTGACACACTGTGCGTCATGGTAGACATAGTCGCTCCAGTCAGTGGCTATCAACAGAGCAGGCTGGTACATATGTTGTGGGTCATCCAGACCTGGGAACTTGGACATATCCAAGGCATAAGTGATGTTGGTGTCGATACTCAGAGGTTGAAGCGGGTGGCTAGGTACGTCCGGCATGGTTGTGAAGGGAACTATGCCATCCACGGTTACATCACGGGTATTTAAACAATGTGCTGTAAGCCCGTTTAGACATCCAATCAGATCGTTTAGCTTACCGAGCTAATCAGACATTTCCTATGATACCGTATGAAAACACGAAGCTGTTAAAACGACGTGAAAGCTTTCATTGTGTAAAGGTGATTAGCACAAATGACATGTTGCAACCCCAAGGAGCCGCCTGTCTGGTGGTCCGATGGTGTGTTTTAACATCTCTAAATAGGCAATAATTAATCGGTAGCGCTTTGATGTTTATCTGCCCGCGTCATTGATGAAACGGGAATTACTAAAATCGGACGCCTTTTATGTAACTATTAAGTTTTGAATATATTTGTAGTATATTTTCCACAGAAGTGATACTGTTTTGGTAAACCAGAAAATACTTATTTAAATACCACTCCATCTTCAATAAGACAACAATCATGTTTAAAAGATTTATTTAGCTCAATGCATTAGGACAATGACACCATTTGAATGATCATTAGATGTGTCAAATATAAGTTTCTGATATGTGCATTGTAATTGCATTCAAATAGTTCAGTGTTACCACTATTATACCGTTAGTCAATATTTGGTGACGTTTAATTATTTGAACATGCGCTCTTTCTGTCAGCCCATTCTGCCGTCTGTCTCGTGAAAATTGAAAGCAGTAATCAATTCCAAAATGTTTTGTACCTTTGTAATTTGGAAAAGGTTTCTTCAAACTAAACGTTTCATATTTGTTTCAAATCTAGCAGATTCTTTAATTAAGCTTCGAATTTATGTTTTAAGTGTCTTCTCTATGTTTGAGCATGATATTTTACCAAATGTACGACCTATCATTTTTCTTGTCTGAATAATTCAATCAAAAGAAAGTTATGAGATATACTTCACATCGTGGGTCTCTATCATAAAAAAGGTCTTCTTGTGGGACAGAAGCATTTTCTTACATTTCAATAATTATGTTAATATGCTTGTCCGATTATGTCATATGTAGAAAACAAACATTCTCTCCTGACCTAAACATTTGTTCAGCATATCAGCTATTACTTGCATGCATACAAATTACTAACAACAAAGATACAGCTCATATACTGGAGCCACTGTCATATTCACATTGATATGCTGAACATGCCTGTCTAATAAATGCAAAACGTCAACGCGAGAGAATAATCTCGCATCCCGTATATCTGCTGGAGCAGGTTCTATTTTGCGATAAAGGCACAATGGTGATGAAAATTATATGAATGGGTCATTGAAAATCAGTGATGACAAAGAACGAATTATACCTCAAGCCTTACGACAACATTATTACCCCGTACTGTTAACAAAAGCTGTCACGATTTAACTAAGCAAACGTATTGCCAATTAGTCACTACAAGAATAACAATAACACAACAAGACAATTAGAATGACGTATCCTTTATCATAACACCCGCAACAGCGACAATGGACTGTTATACTTGGTATTGGTAAAACACCGTGATTACTTTCACATGACAAATCCGTTTCAAGTTGTCACACATCTTACTCTCAACAATTCATTTTTTTAATTACTTACAAAACAAACATTTCTAGAGAGTGAGTATGGTTTTAGCAATATTCCAGCAATATCACGGCGGGGGACACCAGAAATGGGCTTCACACATTGTACCCATGTCGGGAATCGAACCGGGTCTTCGGCGTTACGAGCGAACGCTTTAACCACAGGCTACACGACCACCCCACTAGAGTGAGGCGTTTCTGATTAATTTGTTTTGGGAGTATATTGATGGAATATATAATATTTATCTTATAATATCAAATTAATGACACCGAAACCGTATTTTCACAAAATGAACCGAGTCTTAGTTCCTGTTGAATTTTGTTCGATTGACCAGTTTCAAGGCATGAATATGAAGTCGGAAGATGAAGGTTCTGATTCTTGTAAGCTTATCCGGATATTAAAAGTAAATGCAGATAAATTGTATTACAAAGAAGAATAATGGCACTTATATGAATCAGCTTTGTTTCCCATCAGCTTTGCAAAATATAGCCGTTGGAGCTGTTAGAGAGTTTTAATATGGGCTTTTAATTTTAACTATTGTTCTCCAAGAAATTGTCGGCATCACTAAACATGATTATAATCCACCATTGGAGACTGCGTTGAATTTTAAAAATAGGAAGTTGCATTCTGAATGAGACATATGCAATTAAGAAGGTACATTTCCGCTCACAGTTTCAAAAACATGACATGTAAGCAAAATAACTGAAACATGTGAAATCATACGCCGACAACAACGATGTGCCGATATACAAATCTGGATAATTTCTATAACATATATAGCCACTATTAATTTCGAAACAGGCATAGACAGTTGCGCAAACGGAAAACATGGCACAAAATATAATTGCTGATTTCGTACATCTGTTACGAACATAAAATGTTATGAAATTAAAACAGGATGGCTTCTGATCCTATCAGGGAATAGTTTCAAGCTGTGCTCGGGTAACATGTTGAGCAGAACAAAAAGTGAAACAATTAAAAGAGGTGTATAACACTATGACATCGCTGCTAATGCGTTTCCGAAAAGCATTAGGATTATGCCAAGGACATTTGGGAACAAAATAGTTGAACTGTTCAGTGTTCAGTTTGTATGAGGCAAAGTTAAGATGAAGATGTTTATTTCTAATGAATCACCTAGGTGACATAAAGAAGTTGACAAGAGAGACATATATACAAAGAAATGAGACAATAGTTAGTGGAGCATACGCAGTCCATATTTTACATACTGGGCTAGTCGTAAGAGGAGAGGTTTATAAGAACAAGTCATAAGTGCAACATATTTTTCAGTATTTGGATATTTACAATAATATAATGGGAGATATTTATTTCTTAAATGATCCGATTCATGGCATTCTAGTATAAAATGGAATTCATCACCAATTTTATTTTTACAGAGAGAGCAAAGCCTATCTTCCCCATTGAGGTTATACCATCGGCCAGTTTCAATTGGGAGTCGGTGGATGGTGGTTCTGATTTTGGTAAGCCAGATGCGTAAATTATGAGGTAAATACAATAAGTAGTCTTCTACTGAGAGGATATCTTTATACAAATTATAATAGTGTCCTTTTGAGAAATTCACTTTACTACTCCTTCAGCTTTGTAAAAATTGATCTATAAGGACAGTTTTGACTTTAGCCTTTATCCATTGTACACTGGGAAATTCCTGAGGCAGCCAAATGTGATTCAGACCTGTACTTTGTAAAATACGTTGGATTTCATTTACAAGTGGGAACTTAAACTCTGGGTGGGCAATTTGGAGTTTGAACATAAGTTTGTACACTATACCTGATAATTTGGTTTCTGATAGAACTAATTTGCCCCAATATGATACCATTCTTAACTTAACATGGATGTTTAATAGGTATCTCCCCAATTCCCCGCTAAGCTGCTCTAGTGTTGCACATCAATCATTTCTGTAATATGAAAACGAATTTGAGTGCTTACGTGACTGGTTTTCAAAGCTTGCATGTCCGCCAGTCAATCTGAGCCAAGACCGCAGGGGACTAATTGTGCTTGACCGTCTTTGGTCAAATTAGCTCATTTGGTTTTGTTTCATAAGTTTGTGTATGTTTTTAGAAAAAAATCTAAAATGTTGAACTTAAGAACAGAATAAGTTTCATACTATTACGTAATGGATATAAGAAGGGACTTAGAATGTAATCTGGCACATTTCTTTGATAATTTCACTTGGGAAATACTAGATCCACACCAGATGCAAAGCATATTACAATTACGTGTCCTTTGTTTAACCACCTAAGCAACACCATTATTTGTAAACTGATACAATGAGTGACATCTAAGGAAGGCATCGTCATGCGTAATGTTGATGTGAGGAAACACACGCTGTTCTGAAACAGCTGTTGTTAGGACGCTCATGCAAAGAACTTCTTTTCAAAACATGTACTGTAATGGTAAATGTATGTATATCCATATATTGATTGCTGGTGTATTTGCCAAGAGGAAATGTTTCGTGAAATGAGTCGGCATGGTTTTCAACGTTATCATAACTAATCCAGTCATATGACGGTAGGTTGGTTCATAAATGTGAATGTGTAATGTAAAAGGGCATTTCTGTTCATACATCCATATTGCGATTTAATTTAATACTTTAACTATCAATACGTGAATTAAATATCATGTATACACGTATGCAATATTATTATACATACCAATGTAACTCCAGTACAATAAACAGTTGAACTGAATATTTCTGGTCATACCTTACAGAATCGGTGCCTCTTTATAGGAGATATATCTGGTATCAAGTCCGTAAATCAATTTGCGAAAATGAACTAAACAATTTTACAAACAATTTTACCGAAATGGCAGGTGCCCTGGAAGCCATAAGTACATTCGATTTTAATAGATTTTATTTGTGGTACATATTATGGAAAAAACCCTGTTTTACCTCCCCTTTCAACTGCATAATCAAAAGTTATTGTCATTGTGTCAAAAACATTCACACATGGCTTTTTGATTCTCCATAAGATTAAGGTAAAGCGTGTGTCATCAGTCTTTGTGAGAAACGTACTCATCACTGTAAATCGAAACGGCTTTTCCAAAGGTTGTGATTATTTATAACCAGCTTTTGTCCCTTCCGTGTCACGTATGTAAATAGACTGCCTGTTTGATTTATGAGCCCGAAATATGGTATTTACAATAGTTGACCGTGTTCTTTTGTGTCCGAGGCCTTCACGTGTCACAGAAATTTACATGCCATTCACATAAAATGCTTTATCACATGGTGATTTGAAACTGAGCAACTTGAAGGCTCGAAACAATCTGAGTATTCATCTTTACAAATGTAATCACGTACATGTTTTGACGTTGTCCCTTTGGTTCTGTTGCCTAGTAACACTATCAATTAATCGTACTCGCTTCGCCACAGCTGATGAAGATAAATATCATTAACCCTTGAATGTCCTAGGTTTTCCCATATACATTTATTCCTCATATTTCTTGTCATGCAACAATATGAAAGATATTCTATTGAAGCAAGCAACAATTATGAATTGCCTATTCTTTTGTTTAAGAGAGTATGTGCATAATTGTTACTGTCATCTTGTCTACGATGAGACACATATAGATGTGTACAGTGACCATAGTCTTATTGAGTCAAATTTCGCCCACGTTCATGAAATATCCAGTATGCTATATAATATCTTTTACTCATCCCAAATCATGTATTAATGTACCCTTTGTTATATAAGGTTTAAGAGACATGTTCAGATAGACATCTAGTTGCTTGTCCATCTATCCTGGGAAATGGAATAAATATTGTTTAAAGCGAAGTAGCTGATCTGCACCGCTGAGTATATCGAGCAGTTCTAGCAGTCGAATCTGGATGTCTTGGGGTGTGATTGTTGATTGCATACATTGCACATGAATTTGTTCTGTTCGAACAACACATGGCGCGTGTGCATACAAACCTTTCTATTGCGCTATTTCATCACAACACATTTTTATAGCATGTACACGTTACAGAGTGCATCCATTTTCAGCGTCCTTAAAATTGGTATACATTTGTGCTGCAAATACGCACCGGAAATGTAGATTCGAAAAACATAACAAAATTCATGTCTATGTCTTTCAAGTCTGTTGAATGACTTTTAAGATGTTGTGGCGTAAAACAAAGGAAAACCATCTTCAATATGGGCAGTTTATCTTTTGAAATACGGGGATACATATTCCAAATGGCTAACGAAAAAGATGAAAATATCTGTATTTAAAATCCCTGGTTGAATCATGTAATAGTTTTACTAAGCCCCAACCACTACTTTGTGTGCACATTAAGCTTTATCACCAATCAGTAGTTAAAATGTTGGCAGGGCATGTCTATCCTTTTCGCGAAGACCTGGTGTCATTTTTATTTTCAGTGATCTCTTTTACGCCCAATGGAATCTATTTCGCAGACAATCAAGACTGATTATTATCTGGCGTTGACGGTTTATATTTAAGCTAAGATATGTTATGGAACTTTATTGGGCTTGATAAGGTATATGTGGGAGACAACAGTAGTTATGAAGGGCAACTATACGCTATGCTATGTACAGGAACTATATGGGCGTGATAAAGGGTATGTAGGAAATATAATCACCAATTACAATGTCAAACAAACACTACCCATGTCAATGATTTATGTTGATTTGGCATGCTAAACGGTGGAAACACAACGGTTCCCCAGACTAAGCTTCCATGTATTCAGACATTATAGGCGATGATTTGATTCAAATCTGTACTGCTGGATCAGGGACTTCATATAAGTCTTTGTATAAATTCCCTCGTTATATGGGCGGAAATCGTGGCCGCCAGCTACCACCAGAGACAAATACTGCAATACTCCAGACAGTTATGTAATGTCTTTGCTTATGGTAACATGGCCGTTCTGTGCTGATAACGAATGAATAATTAACCGCAACTGTCAAAATAATTCCGTGGGCTTTCTGGACGGTTACGTGATTACGAATACAATCAAGAGCTGTAAATATTGATTGCTGTGACCGGTGTCAAGCAGCTCACGGTTATTAGGACAGGGGTTGTCCCTGTCAATTTCCTCCCCCATAAACGTGTGTGAATGAAACAAATAGATAACCAACCCTGATAACGCTAGATTGCGCAATGCAGTTCTTTGTTCAAGAGTAGAGTCAAGAGTATCCATCAACACTCGGGGGAAGGGTGGCTTAATGGTCAAGGTATTAGCTTACCTGATTTGCTGGCTATGGTGGGAAACTAATTACCCTGATAATGACCCTTGGTTCTCAACTATATGCAAAAAATCACCCAAAAAAAGGCATAACCTTTATCTAAACTCAAATAGCCAAATCAAAAAAGTACTCAGCAAACCACTAACCAAACCAAAAATTCTCCATCCATCAAATAAAATCGACAGAGAAATCACTAAACTCCAAACAGGACACACCAACCTAAATAACCACCTAAAAAAATAAAAAAAACACACTACAGGTAACTGCCCACACTGCAAACAACTAGAAACCCCAGAACACGCACTCATCCACTGCACACACTACCTAACACATCGAACCGCATTACAAACCACCCTCAATCTAAACAAGTCTCTCACTCTAGAAGCTATACTAAACCCACAAAATAAACCAGAAAACTTCAAGGCCTTAGGCGTATTCTTAATCAAAACGGAACTAATAAAACGCATCTAAAAACACAATAATCTACCAAATCAAAATCACATAAACAAACAAACATCCACCATACCCAGCTCCCTTAGTTCTCCTCCCCAACCCCATCGGCATCTATTCCAAATCTCAAAATTCCCAAATTCTATATAAGCAACCCCTAAAGCCCCCTCTTGGGTTGCTCAGACCACTTTCGCCCCTTTCGGAAACACATTAAATGGCCTGGCCGGGCCCGTGTGCGAAATACGCATCAGTCGGAAAGCGCACGTTAAATCTCCAAAGTAAGTAAGTAAGTAAGTCAACTATATGTGTTATCTGCCCACATTGAACAAGCAGCATTATACAACTACAAATTGTTAAAGGTGGCGTTCGACCCCTACGTACAGACCCCTGACTTGGTAAGAAAAGTGTCCTTAGACTTCCGCCAGATGGCATAATATGTGGGTTATCAATATACTGTTTATATCCTGTGTTGATCTTAATATAATTCTGAATAAGGAATGATATTGTTTTCCGATTGATTTGGTTTGCGCACTCACTATGGTTGTGTAGTACATTTCGCCCTTCGAAGTGTTACTCATTGAATTCCAATATTACACAAGGCCACATTATTCAAGGGACACTGGATGGTGTAGAATGTTCCACAAAGGCAAAGTGATCAACGTCAATCTACAAAAACTGAAACGTTTGTATTGACTCACATAATACAGGTATCAACTAACATGGTATAAAAATGCTACAATCGAACGCATTTTCTTCTATTGTTGCCCATCACAATACCATCCATGTTGAATCTTTATAACAATGGAAGGTAACTAGAATATACCTCACAACCGCTGCCTAATACATCCACTCCACGGTCAATATACAGGATGGCAAACGACCATCAGGAGTAATCAGAACATGTTCAGCCATCCCCAACCCCTGCTGTCGCTACCGTCCATACAAGGATTCATGTCACGTGTTTTAGCTTATCAATTTCATTTTTATAATTAACCGCGTTTCGCGTGATAGTATAACTCATTATAACTGTCTAATTATCGATGCCATTTCCAGGCATGCTATCCTTATTACATCATTCGTAAATAGACAACACACCATCCCACATATGGTTGTTCCTGATGATATTGCGCTTCACATACCTGTAAATAGCGACTATTGAAACACCATTGTACACTACGCTAAACAACTGACCCTTTCTCTCATGAATGGTCCTTAATCGTATGTTAATTAATACAATAGACATGAAACTTCATTTGCAATGGAGTTTGCAAGAATTGAGGATTGATTAAATTATAAATCCAGTATTTATAACGTTCATATTGATTACTTGTATCATTCATTATTCAAGAATAAATTAGCTCTTTTCATTCATTTTGCAGCATGTCACTTCAAAGAAATCACTGGGTGTTATCACGTTCATGTTATCGCCACGGTCACTGATCAATGTCCATTTACAAAGTTGACTAGAATGGGCATGGGTCACCCCTAGGGTGTACCAGGAGTCTGGGGTCAACAGCAAGGCTCCATTGTCCACAGAACGATGCCGGTATTCACATTAGCGTTTTTCATGGCTTAAAAAGCCAGCATGACTTCTGGTTGGTCCCAATTAAAGCTTTTACGAGAAGTTGAAAGTGTCAGTGGCTCTACATTGAAAGAGATGGAAAGTAATATGGAGAATCCTTGGGATTTTGTGCTGGATTAAAAACGCCAATTTGATATTTGTTTGAAAGTCTATGGCGTCTTTGTACGTGATAAATTCGGATTGTGTGGAGAATTTTGAAAGTCGACTTGTCAAACAACATCAGGCAACCACATATGTTATGAAGCGTAATTGTCGTTTGTGAAATATATCACAGCAGGTAAGCTTTTCTCTTCGTATTTTCACTTAACTGTTCTTTGTTGGGTTTTCAAAAACACATACTTAGCACAGAAAGTAGTTATTACCAACTAACTACAATTCAAATGGAAATGCAGAGATGGAGAAGATCAGAAAGTGGAGTAAAGAAAGAAAATAAACCGAAAGCACAACTATGAAAATAAGGTTTATTCAATATAAAATATGCAACAAATAAATAACAATGACGGAATTAGTTGCATGCACTCTGCAAGTAGTATACACGATTTGGCTTTTCATACGCGTTATCTTTACACACATGCACACAATATACATCGTGAGAAATATTATCCATATGCGTCAGGAACTGTTTTATCGATGGCATCTATCACATCACTCCTATCTGAGACCCTTGTCTTATCACAGAATATTGCCCAAGGTAATCCACATGTCTCGCCTGCAGACATCTCCTCTTATGGGAATTGTCACTATCACTTGACCATTTCCTCTTGTTCCTGACAGCTGTGGCTACAGATTTATTACCGACAGGGTTTACTAAAGTATTTCCGAATGAATTAACCGGTGCATTTACAGCCACACATCTGTTTGTGCTCATGTTGTATGTGGGATACACATATCCTTTGAAGTCCTTGCACATATTTAAAGACCTGTTGTACGGCGTGGTATTCCTTGGATGGTGCTGAGGTATTTCACTTTGGTAACAACTGAATCTCCTTTGTTCAAATGGCGTTGAATGTAGATCTGGTCGATGGTAATTTGTATGCAATTGTCTTTGATCATGAGTACAATCCCTTTTTTGTTCGACTGCAAGGATCTGTATATCTGGTAACTGATCATGTCTCTGCAGTTCTTGACTAATATCATCGACGAGAATCTCATATTCTTTTGTATCCAGAAGTTCCAACAAATCCTGAGCTTGGAGATCTGAGGAGAATAAAGAAGCAAGGCTTGAATATTCATATTTGAATTATTTATAAATCTAAATAAGTACATTTATATTTGGCATTTGGTATAAGTAGAGGTCATAATAATATTCGATTTGACAACAACAAAATTCTAATTCATCCAAGACTATCCATGAAGAAATATTTCCAGAACATAAGCATGAAGTATGCATTATCAGTACCGAGCTCCACTTACCAGTGATTTCAAGCAGATCGTCAGGAACATCCACTGGGTGCACAGAAGAATGCATTGGTGGACATCTGGAAGTTAAACTGGTATCCGCATGGTGAATTGTTTGGGGGAGCCTGATTGAACTCTCCCTTCTGCCAGAACACGTCCATTGAATGTTGTTATATCCACAGTAATTTGTAGATCTCTGTGCAACCATTAACATAGGTTCATTTTTGTATCTTGGATCATTCAGGCCTGGAAACCTGGACATGTCGAGATCATAACTTGAGCTGGTATCAACACTAAGAGGCTGTAACAGATGTGTCGGAACGCCCATGTCTGTCTGTAAATGACTGCTGGGATTCTCCTGATCTTTATATAGTCTCATTTATGCCACCAGTAGCAGCCAATCAGGTTTGAGCTTAGAATGATTGACAGCTAGGAACTGGTAATTATATCGTTATCATGTGGCAAACAAATCTCTCTCAGGGTCTGATGGATAGCTTTTAAGCGGGGTCATCTGTGATGGAAGTTGAAAGGCGGAATAGTGTGTGGGCAAAGTGACGAGTGTTCAGGGTCTACCTGCTGTGTAATCACCTCGCTTGTGGACATTGCATAATAGCCTCCGGCTGATGTTGCGAGCCTATCATTAATCAATATACACAACTGTGTTTAATTATTACAACAATCGTAAATTATTCTCTTTTATCACCCGTGACATAATATGCTAGCATTGCCATCCCCATTAACTTACCCTATTTATCTGTCGCGTTTGATTTATTGTCAGTATAGTGCATGATGGTGATAGCAAACTTTGTTTTTCTGTTAAGAAAAGACATTGCAAGTTCTGAATGTATCATTCATCAGCATCTCTCCTGTATGTGCACGAAATGACCAGTGTCGAGATCTGACAGTAATAGCATCCTGTCCTGTAAACATGACAGCCTGCCACGTTGTTGGTTGCCTTTCTACTTGAGTGGAATATCTGCATTTATTTTAATCAAAACCAGTCTAGATTAAATCAGCATTAGAATTGTTTCAGAAATCTATTGTGTAAAAATATTAAAATCCATAGACTATATGGTATGCTACATGATTGGTTGATTGAATGTATGATGAGACATATTACCGTATTCATATCATGCATGCTTCATACAACGCGTGTTAGATTGGAGGTTTTATGCGAGGGTACCCAGTAAAACCTTTTCTATACCTGTCAAAAATATCAGAAACACTATGTACTTCTACACACATGGGTATGATTTAAAAACGATATTACATGGCAATAGTTCAGTTAGCAGTTCTACAAACATGACTATTCTTAAATCAGTTCACGATTTCATTGTCAAAAGCAAAAGATTCGAGTAGCTTAATTTTATGCATGTAGTAATGGAAAACTGCTATATCTTATTTCACAGACACCACTTGTATTGGCTTCATATATTTCATTTGTGCATTTAGTATGTTTATGTTTAGCACTATCTTACATATAATCTGATATATAACCAGTTGTTGTAAAGTTATTACCTGGAGAGGTATTTACATAAGCAAGTTTTGCTTGTTTACCGATCCAGATTTCTTTTGAAATAAAAATATGTTTAAACCAAACCTGTTGCTGGACATCTGTGCCAAGGTGTGTGTCACAAGTGAATTCCTGTATTACACACATACACATTTAGCTCAATATATATGCGTTCGAGTTGCGTATATGTTTATACCATTTACAATTATTCCACGATTGTCCTTTATGGCTTCTTCTATAACGAATATGGGTTATAAGCAACATGTTTTTTTTATGTATTTATCATCCACAATTTGACACCACGCTTCAGCGTCAAGTGCACTTCGCACTTTGTATGCGGCTTCATAAATGTCACCTCTGTGATGTAGGTGAACATTATTTGTTCTCAAACTGATACATATCATTTATAATTACCTTTCATCAACACAATGGAACCGGAGATTAGATTCCAGGGTCAGAATTTATAAGCTCTGTGCTAAGTCACACGTGATGGGGCCGACTAACATCTGTTGGATGGCTCCATGGAAGGTCATCTGTGACAAGAGGGGCGATAAGCGGCTAATGACTAACACACGAGCGTGTGAAATGACCAGTGACCAGTTCCGAACTCCATAATCATCACTGTGTAAACGCCATGGCAACCTCTGGTAAAGATCGGCTTAGCGTTTCCTTCTGTATAATGCAAGACCGGCTATGTCCTGTCATTAGCAGAAATATAGTCTTTTCAAAGAATGGTATTAACGATTCTTAACCTTTGCCCAGGGGCAGCACACGGCACAGGTTACAATGGAGGATTTACATATATTATTTTTGATCATATTTATAAAATTCTAAATGGCTTTGTTTGCATTTGCGTATAAATGCATATATTCTTGGTTATACAAGTTTGTCAATGCCAAGCTGCAAGTCTAAATAACCTATTGAGCTACCTAAGTTTTAGCTATAATTTTCTATTTAAGTTTAAACAATATTTTATTTCCATGAATGAAAACCTGGATTGGTCAACACCTGAAGACATCTTCAGTACACATATTATCGATACATTTCTCAGAACAACACTCTTCAGACAATTCTATAATAGTATGACTTAACTCGACTAGGCAGTAAATCATGATTTTACACAACGTAATTGTTTTGTACAAATATTATAAATAACACTTACAAGCTACTAAAGCGATTAGTTTTGTTAAAATAATCATGGACAGATTCATTAATTTTTAAATTAATGCATCTGACAAATCTGAATTACCGAACAATATAGTTATTATACTATTTATTGTCGAAAATAACCAGTTAGATCTAACATGGCTGAAATTTGAACTATAATGAAGAATACATAATGAAGACCGTCTCCGTCGTAAAATCCGAAGCCACAAGTTGAAATATCACTCAAAAATCAAAATTTGTGTCCATTTAGGTCGCCAAAACCAAATGGAAGTTTACAATGAGTATTCTGATTAACTCTCGTTCCGTATGTTTTGAATATGTGAAGTTCATTGCTTAATATATAGAGGTTATCAAGCTGATCCTGTAAAGTAAATATATATGTTTACCATACACAAGCGCGATAATCTCTTCATCATATAATGTCATTATGCAATTCTGTGCTCGAAGAATATATATATATATATATATATATATATATATATATATATATATATATATATGCATATTTACCATACCAAGCATCACCGACACATGCTAAATCAATTGTTCACCTGACAACAAACCCACCTGAACACATGGCACATGTCAAAATAGGGAACTGCAACGGACATTATTTTTGTCAATGATACGTCAAATTTAGAATTGTTTACACATGTCCACAATAAAACCTTGAATGTTGTAGAAAATAAGTTTGATCCAGTCTTATTTGGATTAAAATTTACTTTCCATCTCGGTATTAAGTCTAAATATGTATTTGAAGAGAGTGTTGATTAATCAAAGTCGTCGATAATCACATATAGAGATTTTGCAGCTCTGCATTGCGATGATAAAAATATGGCATTAATTGGCGTGGTGACAACAATAGACGTACTTGTATGTGCCATAAAAGTTCCTTGTGACATAACATTGCACAATGATTTGCTGTTCATTTTTTTAAATATCTGTAGAATGAAAATGGAGAATCAACAAGGAAATGTTTTTTTTAAAACTCACCTTAAGGGTCACTTTGACACTGTTATGTTAAATTAATGCAGAAAACAAAGTTGTTTGTAGTGGTAATCAGTCACATTTTATGTGAAGGGTCCCCTTTCCGCAAAAAGCGTGAGAAAGCACAATACCGATAATGAGAGTGTTAATTTGTTCTTCTATTCAGTCACCACTGAATTGCATAACATACAGCCTTCTCTTGATCCCAGAAATAAATATTACCCTGGTGTAGGTATACATTTGTATCTTTTGTCACGCTGTACAGGGAGGGAATAGGAACGACATTAGCAATGGATAAAAGGCGCCGCGTTAACACGCCATATGTAACCAGGACGAGCAAGGTACTTCAAGCCAGGAAGACAGCATTAGAACTACAATGTGGTCCTGAGATTTACGCTATAATTTGTAAATATCAAACGAAAGGCGATAAAACGACCTCTTCGATTCGCTCGATTTCACTTTAAAGGAAAAATTGGGATAAAAAAGAAAATACGGACAAAGAAATGCACAAGTGCAGGTTGGACTTCTTTATGTTTCAGATGATTACAATACAACGACGAACTTTATGAGCTACCTTTTGAAGTCACAGGTGTAATTATTGGTGTGATGGGCGTCCAGTGGCTTTGTGCACTGGGCTATGTAAATCATGAAATAAAGTGGTCATGATCAACATTCTGTGACCATGACGACTTGCATTGTGAGTTGGCTTGGGTTCTTATCAGACATAATGGCTGACATTTATCATGTTCAACAAAAAAGTTTATTTTAAATGTTCCCTTGCCAGACCGTGCGAGACGGGCCTTTTATGTCACGGACGGTCAGCTTTTGAAACATGCACGTCCGATGCTCTGGCTGATTTAATTTGTTTAGTTTCAGTTAATAAACTACAGGATATGACCTTCTCACATGAGTGGCATTTAAATAATGGCCTGATACTAATATACTGCTAAACATTTGCAACTATTATTCAGGTCCAAACTAAACCTGGACTGGACTTTTTAATCAGCTTTCTGGCTGGTAAACATGTGACTTTAAACTCTGACAAAATATCAGTATATCTTATTATGTTATCAGAAAAAAACCATTAACAGATTAACCCTGTGTGGAATATTTGAGCAGATATATCATCAAATGCGTATACAACGTCACCGCCAGAGAATAATCAACAAACGCAAAATTTGGTGGAGTATTTTAACATACTACAACATTCTGCTCAACAGGTAGTCTTAACAATTACACAGACACCCAGTTTCCATAACATAAAAAACAAACGAATTGTGTATCTTTCACTTGAATTGATTGAGCTGGCCTCTTGACTCCGTGTACATCCGTGTCTAAAAAAGCGAACTATTGAATATTATGCTTGATAACTATATTCTGAACATGACGCCAGAAGTGTTAAAGTTGTCGTTCATTAATGTCGGCATGTATGAAGAGTGGTTACAATGTAAGCCTTGGAATGGTAAGATGATATATTTGATGATTATTTTCAATCTAACGCAATGTACACGATGTCAGTTGTAGGTTATGAGGTATGTAAAATGCTTTTAAAATGTAATATATAACATACAAACAATGTACAAAAAGGCAATATAATATCATCACAAACAAACCAATACAGCCATACAAAGCATCTAAACTGATCAAATCAGTATAAACACAAACATTAATAA